AGGATAACATGCCTGCTGGACACTTATCATTGTCTAGTAAGAGACTGTTTCCACCTCTTTCTGTTTGTGTCACTAGCTTTGTGGTGCATGGTGTTTTACCTGACTCCATCTTATTTGTTTTACTTGTATCTGTAATTAAAAACAAGGCTGGAAAATTAAAAGCTGGAGAGCATCCTTTAGGAGAGACTGGAGCAAGTCATGTTTATGACTAAATATCAGTTTGGTTTTAAATGTAAATGTGACACTGATATGTCTATTTTTGCATTAAAAGAAATTCTAGATAATTATAACAGACAAAACTCCACAGTTTCAGTTTATTTTACCTCTAAAAGTGTTTGACTGTGTTAATTATGGTAAATGATTTGTTAAACTGCTACAACATGGGGCCCCTAGTTCTTTGGTTAGAATCCTGGCTTTCTGCTATGCACATCACGCTCTGAGAGCTACATCATGATTGGGATTGGGATTTTGGATGTGCTGACCATCTGTTAAGATTTTTTTGTTTTGTTTTCGGCACCCCTCTGCACGCTGCTCACCTGTGGCGATGCTAGGAGGGGCGGCGTGCAGAGGTTCTTGGTGGCCTGTAATGATGGTTTGAGGATGCTCCTGAGGATTCTGAGGCAGTAAAATGTTTGTGGTTGCTAATGTTCCCACTTGTTTGGCTCTGTTGTGTGATTTCATGTTTAGATTTATGTCCAGACTTATTGGCTCATTGAATGGCATTATCTTGGACTTGACTGTGCCACATAACAGTACTATAAAGTTAACTTCCAGACTGTGGAGTCATTGGGGCGCAAGCCTATATTTTATGTAATTTAAATGTAATGTTTGACTGTTGTTTCTCTTTTCTTGGTATTTTGCTGTAGTATATCTATTTGTTTTTATTATGGACCATTTTTCTCTTAGTTTCCAGAATAAAGTTTGAATGAATGACAGGAAGGCATGAATTAGCAATTTAAAGATAACTCATAAATGAAAATGAAATAACTGCTGCAGTAATAATATTAAAACTTAATTCTGCCACTGCCAAAATAGTATAGTGAAATTATTCAGACTAAAATATATCAACTGTATTGCACATGTCAAGTCTACAGCAAAAATGAGGAAGATAAAGAATTCTTTATCTTCCTCATTATCTAGTGAAATAATAAAGGCTTTAAGAGTCATTTCAAAACATGGGACCTCAAGATTAGGTAACTAAATCTACAGTTAATTTACCACAAATTAATTTCTACACAGTGACCTGGAGCCTTCCCAGGCCCATCGAGGTATATTAAGCTTAACTCCACTATAGTCAGCTACAACACTGAGTTGTCCAGCAATAAATAGTAATAGAACACTGGCAGAGGCCGTTCTGGGAACGGATATATTAAAATGTATTTGCTGATAATACTTGTTCTTTTGCTAAAGTAAAATGCTCAATGCCAAACATTTGCTTGCACTACTGTAAATACTTACTGCACTTAGTGTAAGCAAAGGACCTGAATATTTTTTTCACAACATAATGATTAAAAGTTTACACCAAAGTAAACATTTATTCATATTGAAAAACTTAATGTACTTATACTCCCCCAGGTTGTGGCCCCATTGCTATCTAACAGTAGGAACCACGGTGAATGGCCACAGGTAGTGTCACAGGATGTCAGGCGTCAGGTTCACTCCCTCAAGGCCAGTGTGTTTGTAGTGTCAGGCCAAGTCCAAGGCAAGACTCTGTTGCCTCTCCCTGCTGGCTCTGAGAAAGTGGAGCAAGTCGCCCTGGAGACAGAAAAGAGGTAAGCAGACGTCCATGTCAATGCATCATTTGTCCTGCATGTGCTTTCTAAAATGGTTTCCTTGTGAAACATTGTAGGGGGGAGGTTGTGGATAAGACCATCATCCACTCCTTGGAGTCAGCAGTGATTGAATGGAGCCATCAGATCCGAGCCATCCTGAAGAAGGACTCCTCTGAAGCCCTGCTGGAAGGCAAAAAGCCCACACCTCACACGGAGCTGCGCTTCTGGAAGAACAGGTCAGCACCTTTATTATTACAGACACAAAGTATCCACCGGCAACACCTGAGAAACACTTCATCTAGTGTGAATGTGTGAAAATAACACATCCCTACAGGACCTCAAAGTGGAAATGTTTTATAGGTTTTTGCTGGTGCTACTAGTTATTTGAGTTTCAGAACACCTGTGCTATCAACTGAAAAATACAATTTAGAGCCCAGTGCTCTCTCTCTCTCTTTCTCTCTCTCTCTCTCTTTATTACTTACTTTTACCATGGTTTTTCCCCTTCACATGTGTGACAAAGCATTTTGCTCCATTTGTTTTCTACTTGGAGATACAGTATTCAGCTCTTGATAATTAACTATCCTCGCTGTAATGTACTGTAACTGTTTACCGAGTCGAGATTTAAAACCAGCTGCACCACACGTACTAGTTCATACATTTGTTTGAGAGCAGTTGCAGCTAAATATTTATACCCAGTAACTGCCAGGTGGAACACATGCTTGGTTAACTGTAATCAGTGCAGTCTCACTGTAAACCACATGAATACTGCTAACAAAGTTCTCAGTGTACAAAAAAGGCAAAGCCATATCATATAAAGCAAAGTATGTTCAGTATAGTGAATGCTTCTTGTTTACATAGTTGGTTGCTTTTGATTAAACAGTGCTACAGTTTTGAGCATCTTTTCTAGCTAGTAGGCCCGCACTTTGTTATCTTGGCACAGCCCAGTTTAGTAAATTACCCATTTGAAATTAGGTGGTAGTCCTACACTAAGTTACTTAAGAACTTGAGAGCAACTTGACACACATATTAAATAGCTGGTGCAGCTCAGTCCAGCAGTCTTGTAAAAATGTGACATTTATGTTGTCCATCTCTTTACTACTTGAAGGTATGCAGATTTGCAGTGTATCCACTCCCAGTTAAAATCCTCTACGGTGAATAAGATGGTGCTGCTGTTGGAGGCTGTGGAGAGCAGCTATTTCCCTGCTTTTGTGAACATGCAAAAGGATGTTCTTGCAGGTAATGACAGCTTTCATACATCTGACAATAAAGAATGGAATCAGACTTATTCTCTGAGGTCTACAATGTGCCTGCTTGAATGTGATCTAAGATGAATCTTCATAAATCTTCTTTTTCACATGTGGGATTTTGTGATTGTGATGATTTTGATCCCATCTTCACTTCTCAGCTTTGGAGGAGGCAAAGGACATCTGCATCTACTTGCGGCCCCTAGAGCGCCTGTTTGAGGACATGGAGAATGTGGAGTTTTCTGATGTCAAAGGCCAAATCGGCCCTTTGATGCACACAGTGTGCCTGGTGTGGGCCAACTCTAGATATTACAACCTCCCAGCTCGCCTTATTGTTCTGATGCAGGAGATCTGTAACCTCCTCATACAGCAGGTCAGCAGCAGTTTCTTCTCTGCGTCATGTGCCCTAGTTGCTGTGGTGTTTCTTAACTGCACTTCAGTTATCACCTGTCTGTTGATGAAGTTTTAGTGGTTGTGGGTGGAACATTTTGTCTTTGCTCAGCCACGAAGGCTGTCAACAGTCATGCTATCAAAATCGCTATTGTTTTCTTCCTCTGTGTTATGTTTATTGGAAACAAGCCTGTTTTTGCTGCAGGAAATGTATAGTGCATCAGAAAACATTTCCCAGGAAAGACCACCAGTGCTGGATTAACCCTCTAGAGGGGCCTGTGGCAAAATAGAGCTATCCTCAACCCTCTCTGAAGTTTCTCTCCTCACCCTTTTCATAGTGTTTGTATCCTGTGGCATTTAAGTACCCATCAGGTACCATGATAAAACAGCATATATACAGCTGTGTATTTTGCCTGCAGATCCTATAATCCTATTTGGAATACCATCCTACCTTGGTTTGGTGCATGTTGGTTTGTAATATTTGCAATATTTCCCCTGGAAAGAACATTCACATTGTAAGCATAATATCAGTTAAAATAGTCAGTGTATAAAAACTAGATTTTAACACAGCACCCTAAACAACACATTACACTGGTTGTCAGTTTTAGTTAAATTACATCATAAAAGCTTTGTTACTTTCATCCCAAGAATTAGATAAGCAGAGTTATTCTTGGCTGGGTACAGGGACTTATTGTATGTTGGGTTTATGATTGTATGAACATATGTTATTCCTTTAAAAGCTGCTCACTGGGTGCATAATCTGAAAGGCTTCCACCATGCTTCTGTGAGCCTCCTAACATGTTGTGGTTTTGGTGCGTGAGAGTACGTGCGGCTGAATCTTGACACAGGGCACACATGAATGATATTTAATTGTAAGCCTTTCCTAGACTTTCCAAGTGTTCATGGCCCCAGATGATCAAATTCAGGTAATGTTAATTTTAGCAGCTTCAGCTAGGTAGCAAATTAGTGTGTTGGTTGAAAATACTGTATGGAGCTGACTTATTTTGAGATGAGAACCCAGTAAAAACCTCTGCAGACCCCTCACACCCTGGACACAAATTATTTTAACTCCTCCCCTCTAGATGGCATTACAGGTCACCGTACGCCAAGACAACCATGATCACTCATGTCAGTGGGTGGCAGATGCAACAAAAGCTAAACAGCTAACATTTTCATGAACCTGGGATTATCAAGACTCAAGATTCAGTGTTTATTGTCATGTGCACAGTGAGGAAACGTGTTTCCCTGTACAATGAAATTCTTACTTTGCTGTCCACAATGAATGCCAAACAATGCAAGGTGAAATATAAAGAAGATCAATCATACCCAAAGTACACAAAGGAATACTTCGAGGATCTCCTCAATCCCGGCGCCATGTCTTCCGATGAGGAAGCAGAGGCTGAGGGCTCAGAGGTGGACTCGTCCATCACCCAAGCTGAAGTCACTGAGGTAGTCAAGAAGCTTCTCGGTGGCAAGGCACCGGGGGTGGATGAGATCCGCCCTGAGTACCTTAAGTCTCTGGATGTTGTTGGGCTGTCTTGGTTGACACGCCTCTGCAACGTCGCATGGCGGTCGGGGACAGTGCCTCTGGACTGGCAGACCGGGGTGGTGGTCCCTCTTTTTAAGAAGGGGGAC